CCAGTTTGACAACTAGCTAACCACCCAATTAATCGTTGATTGATTATCTACATAATTTTAAATTCTAGCCAATCAAATTGGTTTAGTACAAAAAATAAAACGTTAAACAGTTACTTTTTTTTTTTGCCTAATGTCAATACTACTTTCGAGTAGACTTCTTACAACGTTAAAAATTATACAATTAAATAATGATAAACCACCAAAAATATTTAGAAAAGCTTTGGAATTATCCTTTTTTAGTAGAAATGCTAGAAAAAGAAAAATTGCTGTTCAATTAATCCAACCGCTTTCATCACTTGGAAATAAAGGTTTAAAAGAACTTTTAGTGGTATCATTATAAAAAAAAAAATGAGTGTATTATTATTTATGATTATATTATTATATCTTTATGAGCATAGGTGACATTGTGAAAGTTTCTCCAGGTATGAAAGAATAAGTGTTCATACACTTTAAAATTAGAGATTGTACCTTGGTAGAAGTTATTATATAGCTATATAATAAAATTACCCGGTTAACTGGGTAATTTATTAATACTCGGGTAGAAATTTTCTTGACGGGTACGATCTAAAAAAAACAAATTTTATATTTATTTATATATAATTTACAATAATAATTAAGGTTATATGAGGCATAGATTATACCCTAATCGAGTTGCAAATTACTACATACCAAGACCACGAAACAGATTATCTGAGGATATCCCAAGAACAGTCAGAATAAATGAGGAGCCTCCATCAAAAGAGGTTAGTTTATTTCAACTTAATTATATGAAAACAATTAATCTCAATATATGATTTCAATAGATGATTAATATATAATATTTTATTATATCAGTCATTCTCGGATATGTGGATATCATTTTTACTTAAAGAAGCTAGCAAGGACAGTTCTGATCAAAATACTAGTAGCAGCTCTGTTTCTACGCAAAGTGAATAGATGTTTATTAGTTTTATCATTCTTTTTATAATTACAATCCATTTTAATGTATTATAGTAGTAATTTTTTCTAGTTTGCTTATGTATTATTGTATTTAGACAAATCATTTCTTTTTTGCCGCATTATTTTAATTATAGATACAATATTTGATCATAATAATAACTTGAAACCAATTGGAATTGAGTTTCAAATTGTGAATACCAAAAATTTAATGACATCGTATATCTGATATAATTTGTGAACAAAAAAGAATTACATGATTTGGATTTCATTATTTAATGAAAATGAATTAAAGATACTAAATATGAACACGGATCATCAAAAAAAAATTGAAGCTTGTGTGATTATTAAAATTAATAATAGATAATGTACTTACAATTTGATTTTTTAATTGTCAGTAAAAGATTGTA